GAATTGAATTGCTTTACCCCTTTTTCCTTCAGTGTCCCCCCCCCCCCCCGCCACCATCTCTCTCTCTCTCTCTTTCTCAACATGGAGCACATTTAAAAATTAATGATGCTCCCATTACTTCCCCTTTTCACATGCCAAGACACTCTCATATCATTCAAGTGCCACTCAGAGTCAGCAGGATGACTTCTTATTTCCTGTCAGCTCCCAGCATTCCCTTCCTCCATTAAACAATGGGGAGAGCAGCTGATTATTTGATACACTTGTACATAATGTTAATATATCATTACTGGCTACTTAGAACCCTTTGCATTATGCAGGAACAGTCATGCCTTTTAGTAAATCAGCATGTAGCCTTGACACTTATCTGTGTGTGTTGGGCATTACTGAATATATGTGGTAAAGTAGATGTTTGCTTTCTCTCGCTATCATTATGAGAATGGCCAACATTTCCTTGTGTTATTTCCAGAAGATTCATTCGAAGATGCTTTCTGACCAAGGAAAAGTTATACAGAGTTCAGTCTAGGTGGTTTGGACTCTTCTCTGTCCATCTTTTCCAACAAAACGTTATGTGATCCTAGCTTTGTTTTATATGTACTTGCAGTGGAAGGGGGGTGGGTGGGATTCCTTTGTGGCTGTACTCTAAACTGCTAAAATAATGTATTTTTCTGAGTTTGCCAGGATTACCCCCCCCCCCCCCCCGCAAGATCCTGTCCAACTCCATAATACCGAACTGTAAGATTTCGGTAAGGTATTGCTGTGAGCAGTGCCTCTTAAAACCAGGCAAAAGGCAGTTGATTGAAGGCAAATTCAAGTGTGTGGTCTAATAAGGCCCACGTGATGAGCAGGGATAAATCTTGCATCTTTCCTCACTGAAAGGAAGGAAGATTTAAAAAGGCCCATGTGTGTAGCAAGAAGTTAATTTGCACTGCAACTGGTTATAAAAACAAGTCTAACAACTTACCTGAATCACTGCAAGAAATCCTATGACCCTGTGGATTTCTCGAAATCTTGTGAGAGGCATGAATCAAGTGTTAATGCTGTGACTTGACTCCCATCTTAATTAGTCACTTCATTTATTTATTCGTTTTATATACTGTCTTTTCATTCTCTGAACACTCAGTGCATCTAACAGTACAGAAACACAAGATGAAAATAATGTAATCATGAGGCAATTAAAACCACAAGTACTAACATCGTTTACATTTGATGGACTGGGCTGAAGAGAGATATTTTCACTGCTCTTCTAAAGGTGAAGCATGTCTGTCAAATACAATTCCTGAATGCCGTCACAAGCAGCATTCCAAGCAAAGGTCCTCTCCCATGTGCTCATAATACCTTCCTGGGCATCACCCAGCTCCCCTGCCCTACCTAAATATTTTTTAAAGTTATTTTAATTAAAATTAAATGCTTCCAATAAACATTTTTAGAAAATAAAATAATGGGTGGCTGAGCATAAGTGTGACCTCCTGCCCAGGAAAAGAAAAAAAAACCAAAACCCTGAGTGAAGCATAAAGCAATAAAGAGCGTCCTGGGGGCTAGAAGAGATGGTTGGCCTTACTTTACAACCTTCTCATTTTGAAGGCCCCTGGCAGCCATCAATAGGATCTCAAAATTTCAAATGTGCCTACCAACATTAGGAAGGCAGTACAATGTAAGTCATGCTGTAACTATAGAGTAAGCGGTTAATTTACATCTGTACTTATTACTGCTGTAAAGAAAATTGAAAGCTACTTCTTTATATTATCTTTCTTCCATTCTTTTTTCCTGCACTGTTGGCTTTCTCTTTTTCTTCTCTCTTTTCTTTATTCTAAATATTAGTTCTTGTTAGTTTTTCTCTTTCTTTTTAAAATTTTTAATAAAGTTATATATACTAAAAAAAGGAAGGCAGTATAGGAACACAATCTAAAGCCATGTTCACATTTTTAGCTGTCACACTTCAGACTAAATGAGCATCTTCTGTCTTCGTCCATAATATTTATAAAGATGTTAAACAAGAAGGCCCAGGAGAAAAATCTGCAGTAGCACCACTTTCCCTAATCTCTAGCCTAATGAGGAACTGCCAATGAGCATTATTCTAGCCTCTGTGAGAGCTTCCTGTCAGGAAGTAATTAGCTGTTGAATGACTTCTCAATCTGAAGAGCAGATTTGTTCTTTGGAGGTCCACCTCATGATTAGGTCTTCTCTCCACTGCCACAAGAGCTCATGTCAGGGCACTTGACGGTGAAGCTATATCTCTCTGGTTTGTCACCTCTAAAGGCATTATGGAAGGTTTTTTGGTAAGCTGTGATAGGTTCTGACATGTATTGAAGATGTGACACCAAAGGATGCGTGCCTTTCACTGTCAAAAGGGTAATCTCCCCAACCAAGACCATAATTGATTTCCACATCAACCTTCACACACCCTCTCGGACCTTAGATAAGTGTATTGCTTGAATGGGCAGCTTTCGCTCTGGATTAGAGGCCAAGTGTGGAGGATTTCTGACAGTTTAATTAAATGATTCATTGTTAACCCATCACTCAGGCCTGCCACTTTGGGTTAAGAGTGAATGAGCCTTGCCAAGTCACAATAGGAGCAGTGAAGAAGGCAAATTATGCGGGAGGAATGATAAATATAGCTGACTGTAGTAGACTGTTTGGGACTAAGCAAGAAGCAAAGAGAGGGAAAGGCATATTAACTTCATTGTATCCTGAGGGACAAATTTGCAGCAGGCTTTGAGATCCCATGGGCAGACTTCCCAGGTTTTACTATCATTTCGTCATTTCGCTAGCACATTCCATGTCCAAAGAAATGGTACACCCTAACATATTAAATGCTTCCATAGAGGAGTGGTTAGGGAAGGAGAATTGAGATTGCAAAATGGTGTTTTCAGATGACCAAGAGCTAATTTGAATGGCAGGGACTGAGAACAGGGCTCACTAATAACAGTTTAATCATCTTTGAATGCCCTTATTGTAAATGATAAGCTACTGAAATATAAAGAGAATAGATCCCTGTCCCAATAGGTTTACAATCTAAAATTTGCCTCAGGAAAGAGAGACTAAGAGGAAAGTGGGGTAAACAGGTGAACAATGCATGCTCATTCATTTATACCTATTCATACTGTATCTATATCCTACTATAAGGAAGCATGAGTAGGTATAAATACATTATTTCA